AAGAACTACGAGTGCCCTAATCCCCTATTACACGAATGATGGTACGTAGGCACAAAGGTTCACAACCGCAGAGGGTGAAAAAATTGTAAAAACCACTTTTTTTCTCATCTCCACAATCTTCATTTGTAAATATTTCTTTTTAGCCAAAATACACAGATTTTTGAAGAGGTTCCTATGAGTACCGTAGATGTTTATGGTGTTAATATCTTCCCATTTCATAACCAATCCCCTTACCTTGATCTATTTCTTACTACAAGTTTTATTCAATTTTTTCCATGTCCTTTGAATAAAATAAAGTGTGGTGGCGACTTTCACTTTGTGAGTTAAGTCAATTAATGGCTTAGTCTCAAATTTTTACCGCTACAGGAGTATATGATTCAAACTGTCCACTCGTATCTGGATAAGTTTGTAGTGGTCTTCATTGATGATGTTATGATCTATTCTAAATCAGAAGAAGAGCATGTTGGGCATTTACAAATTGTGTTAAAGGTGTTGAAAAAGAAGAAGTTGTATGCAAAATTGTCAAAGTGTGAGTTCTGGTTGAAGAAAGTGAGTTTCCTTGGCCATTTGATTTTAAGTTGTGGAATTTTTGTGGATTCTTCTAAGGTTGATTTTGTATTACAGTTGGAGACGCCAAGTCTTCTACTGAGATATGAAGTTTTCTTGGTTTACCCAGTTATTATCACAAGTTCATTGAAGGCTTTTCTAATTTGGCACTACCTTTGACTCAGTTGACTCAAAAGGGTCAAGCTTTTGTGTGGGTTGTTGTATGTGAAGAAATTTTTGTGGAACTAAAGAATAAGTTGACAACTGCACCAATATTGGTTTTGCCTAATTCGAGTGAATCTTTTGCGGTATATTGTGATGCATCGAAGATAGGTCTTGGGGTTGTGTTGATGCATAATGGTCAAGTTGTTGCTTATGCGTCTAGATAATTTAAGGTTCATGAAAGGAATTATCCTACGCATAACTTAGAGTTGGCAGTGGTGGTATATGTGTTGAATATTTGGAGACATTATTTATTTGGATCTAGATTTGAGGTGTTTAGTAATCAGAAGAGTCGGAATTACTTGTTTAATCAGAAGGAATTGAATATGAGTCCAAGAAGATGGCTTGAGTTGTTGAAGGGTTAATATTTTGATTTAATTTACCATCCTGGTAAAGCAAATGTTGTGGCAGATGCTTTGAGTAGGAAGTCCTTGCATATGTCGATGCTTATGTTGCGCGAGTTAGAATTGATCAAACAATTCATAAATACGAGCTTAGTGTGCGAAGAAACTCCTAACAATGTAAAGTTAGAGATGCTGAAGCTGACTAGTGGTGTCCTTGAAGAGATTAGAGGAAGTCAGAAATATGATTCGAGTTTGGTTGATCGATTGTTTCTAATTAACCAAGGTAATGGAGGTGAATTTAGAGTTGATGAAAGTGGTGTAATGAGGTTTGGTGATAGGGTGTGTGTTTCGGATGTGCCAGAACTTAAGAAGAGTATTCTTGAGGAGGGACATCGAAGTGGTCTAAGTATTCATCTAGGTGTTACAAAGATGTATCGGGACTTGAAGAAATTATTTTAGTGGCCCAATATCAAAAGAGAAGTTTCTGGATTTGTTTACGTTTATTTGACTTGTCAGAAGTTGAAGATTGAGCACCAGAAGCCTTTGGTTATGATTCAATCGTTCAATATCTAGGAGTGGAAATGGGAGAAAATTTCCATGGATTTTGTGTCGGGTTTGCCAAAGAATGCTAAGGAAATGATTCAATTTTGGTGATAATGGATAGATTGACTAAATCGGCTCATTTCTTATCGATGAAGATCAATCATCCCATGCAGAAGTTAAATGAGATGTATATCGAGGAGATTGTGAGGTTACATGGTATACCTTCGAGTATTGTATCAGATAGAGATCTAAGGTTTACGTCAAAGGTTTGGGAAGGTTTACAGAAGGCTTTTGGTACTAAGTTGAAGTTCAGTTCTGCTTACCATCCACAGATGGACTGGCAGATGGAGAGGATTATCCAATTGTTAGAAGATTCTTTGAGGGCTTGTGTGTTAGAGCAAGGGGGTGGGGGCTTGGGATAGCCACTTGTCATTGATTGAGTTTACGTACAACAAGATTTTCCATGCCAGTATTGGAATGACATCATATGAAGCGTTTCACGGTAAGAGGTGTAGGACCCTGTTGTGTTGGTATGAGTCAGGCGAGAGTATTGTGCTCGAACCTGAGATTGTATAGGAGAAGATTGAGAAGATCAAGATGATACAAAAAAGGATGAAAGCTTCACAGAGTCATCAGAAGAGTTATCATGATAAGAGGAGGAAAGAACTTGAGTTTCATAAGGGAGATCACATGTTCTTGAGAGTTACTCCGGTAACTGGTGTTGGTAGAGCTCTAAAGTCACGAAAGCTTACGCCACATTTTGTTGGTCCATATCAGATTTTAGAGAAGACATGTATGTTGACCTATCATATTACTTTACTATTGTCGCTTACAAATCTTCACGACGTGTTTCATGTATCTCAGTTGAGGAAATATATTTCGTATCCTTCACATGTGATCAAAATGGATGATGTACAGGTGAGAGATAACCTTACAGCTGTAGCATCACCCGTGCTGATAGAAGGTCGGGAAGTGAAGCAGTTGCGAGGTAAAGAGATTGCCTTACTGAAGGTACTGTGGAGTGGACCAGTTGGTGGAAGTTTGACTTGGGAGAGTGAGGATCATATGAGAGAGTCATACCCAACTCTGTTTTCCTCAAGTAATTTTCGGGGATGAAAATTCTCTAAGTGGGGGAGAGTCGTAACACCCTAAAATCTAGATTTCTCTATTTTTACTAATTATTGGGGATTTATTATGAATATTTTGTTACTTGAAAATATATTCTATGGAGTAGTAAGTGGGAATATATGTAATAATTAGAATTATTTGGAATTAAATTGTTTTAGTTATATTATTTGGAATGATAATAATAAAGTGGAGTCTTTAGTTGGAAAGGGGAATATGGGCGTAATGGTAAGTGTGTGCAGATAAGTGAGGGTAGAAGAGGAAAACCATATAAAGGGTCTAAGGTTAAAAAATAAAAAGGAAAATAAGATAAATAGGGAATCATTCGATACAATCAAGAAAAGTTGGTGAAAAATATGAAGTGAGAGCTAGGGCACAGAGAACCAAGGGGAGAATTCCATAGAACTTGAAGGAAGAATCAATTTGCTAGGAATTCGAGGTAAGGGGTGTATCTTGGTTTATTTTGATTGATAAGGGGTAAAGGTAGATGTATGTTTGTATCTTGTATGATTATTTGATGAAACCTGTGATGTAATACATGATGAAATCGTGATGTCGATAATATTGAGATGCCATGATTCAATCCCATTATGCGTATATGAATGTTTTGATTATGATATGTGGTGTTTATAATGTGTTTTTGAATGAGTATTATGTATGAAATAAGAATTGGTGTGGCCTGAAATAGTAGTGAAATTGCAAATGGAAGTTGTAGAATCGCGCATCTCGTCGGGCAAGCGAATTGCCGAAGCATCATCGGGCGAGCCAGTAGGCGACAAGGTTTGTGGAAAAAGGAAGGTTCTTGGAAAATACATGAGATGAGGATTTCACCAGAGTTTCACCAGGTGAGAGAAGCAGTGATGGACCCAATATCTTATTTTGTTGGGAGAGCGTTAGGTGAGGTAGAGGCGAGAAGAGCGCCACCAGGGTCGCTGGGCGAGGCTTAGGCGAGCGTTCTGGAAGTAACTTTTGAAATGTCATAACTTGAGTTTTAGGAGTATGTTTGATGTGTCGCTCGAAGCGTTGGGAAGATGGTACACAAATATATTATGATAGAATAATATTAGTTACTTGATGCGTTACTCCAGTGCCTATGTATATATGAGTTTGAATTATTATATGTTTGATATTCCAAGATGTTCTATTTTAATGATGAAATTGATGATGATGAAAGTTTCTATGATGTTGTTGTGATGTAATTGATGTTACCCGTGATGATGTTTTAATGATGTTCATGTTTAAATATGTAATACATGTTATGTGAAAATGATTATATGAACGATGTTGCGATTAACTAGCTGTGGTCGAACTTATAAGTGACATTGTTGTGCATCATGCATTCATAGAAGTTTTGGACGGTGGTCCGTTTGTGATGAGGCTTAATCCCAATGTGTGGATTGACTGTGTTTGTGACGTGCTCCGGTTCCAATAGGGAATCAATCATATGGTGGGGATCATGGAGGGTGATGAAACAAGTGTTTATAAATTTGGTACCACATACATTGAGTCAGTGTTGTTGCATTAACATTCTAGGTGGCAATTACATGAGTTTGTTGATGAAATGTGATATGATGATATTTGTGAGTTATATGATTATATGATGGTTTTTATGAAGAAAGACGTATAAGTACTATTATGACGTGTAAGTGTGAGTATAACTTGTTTATAAATGATATGTGCTGATATGATGATGATGTTACTACTAATCTTTTTCTTATATCTTTTATAATGGACTGTGATTACTCACCATTTTTGTTTGAATGTTGCCACCATGTGGATAACGTGCAGATGCTTAGAAGTAGCTTGTAGGAGCGTCAGAGATAGATTTGGAGTATTTTATTAGTTTCCTCTAATTAGAGGTGTCTTGCTTGGATATGTAACATCGGGTTGGGAACATTTTTTTTTTGCGAATGTTATATTCCTTTTATGTTGACATACTTTATGAAGGTTTTTGATTATTAACCTGATTTTAATTCTCACTTTGGAATGAGACTAATCTATCATGATTATTGAGAAGTTAAGTATGATATTATGATAATGATTCTGTTGCAATGATTTTCTAAATGATGTGTTGATTTTATTAAAAGGTGTTATTATAATTATGGTAACCCGTATTGCACAACATGATTGTTTTATGATATTTTGTATAAAGTGTGACACCCTTGTATGGTGATGTTTACTTGATTTATTTATTAAATTATATAATAAATACATGTGGGTTTAGAAGGGGGTTACAACACTCATCTCTAATCTTATATTGAGGAAGTCGCCCCCACGAGCCTTGCTTGAGGGACTCACCTCAATCACGCTTGAGGGACTCGCCTTCCAATCCTTGCTTGAGGAACTAGCCCCAATCACACTTGAGGAAGTCACCCATAAGCCTTGCTTAAGGTACTTCCCCCTCCCTAAGCCTATTATATGAGACTTGTTTCTCTGATTCCCAACTAGAAAGAGATTGTCTTCTACCCATCTTAAGTCACTTTGACCTTTCCAAAACTCGTGCTTGAGGGCCATGGACTTAGATAAGTTTAATTGGGCCCTAGAAGAGACCAACCCAAAACCCAATCGGCCCAGAGCAACGTAAAGTTGAAAGGATAATTTGGGCGGTGCATGACTCGGCGGATCATGAGATTGTCTGACCCAAACTAGCCCATTTTGAAAGGGGCTCTCGACCTAATATGGACTTTTTAAGTCATAATTATCTTAGTGTGTGGCATACCAAATATCCTTGTGAAATGACTGTTATTTCCACTTCTTTGAGGAAGAAACCATTTTTACTATTAATGGAGAAGAACAAGTCATTATATTCCCTCACTATAGCCAAGTAGTTGGGAGGGAACCGATTCTTCACCCATAACCAGGCCCATGGAACCTTACTATAAATATCCCAACCTCTAGAATTTGGGGGAAATATTTACTATGTAGATATTGAGCATACCTAAAATTCTTGCATTCCTCACTCGAGCAGAATATCCCTTTTGTAATTTTCGCAAGTAGAATGATTATGCCCAAAAAGTACATCAATTAGATGTTAATCTGGTGTATCTAAATAGGATATTAAATAGTTTTAGATATTTTTTAAAAAATAATTAATTTAGCTGTGATTGAACTTTCAATCAAATAGTGAATTTTGTAATATGAGAGTAAGATGATTTTTTAGGATTTTGATTAAGTATAAAGTGAAAGAAAGTACAATAGTGTGAACCATGTTCGTGTTATAAAGTGTAAGAGAAATGGCGTACAATAATGTGAACCATGCCTGCATTATGGAGTGTAAGAGGGATTTTAGGATTTTGATTATGTATAAAGTTATTTCTTTCTTAACCATGTAGCTGGGATATTTATAGGCTTGGCCTTTAGATAAAGAAGTTTCTAGAGTATCAATTTGTACAACCTATTCCTTCATTTTAGAAAGGGGCAGTCAAAATTATTTATTGCAAAAAAATTAATAAACACAATACCCAAAGGAATAAACATTTTACTTGATACCCTGAAGGACATGGTGGACTCGCTTGTATGACTGATTGTAGGTATCAAAAGCTATCCACTCTAGAAAGAAATCCCTTAGAAGATGGACATTCACCAAGTTATCCATTTTCTTGGCTCCCAGGTGCCCCACTCTTTTCTCTTCGTTAGGGAAATGGTGTGGAAATTGATGTGATTTTGCATGAAATTGTGGGTGTCAAAGTTCTCATTCTAGAGAGGGTGCCGCCTTAATTCTCGAAAGAGCTGAAGTGGTTCCATGGAGAGCCACCCCCTTGAGATCTATGAAATTCTCATTTAGGGGGAGAATGGACTCAATACATGAAACAACTATGGATGATGAAGATGAAGATGATATTGAGGAGGGAATTTCCTAAGGAAATGTAGAAGTCAAACTCATAAATATGGCAATGGAAGAAAAAAAAACATGACTCAATAATATATAGAGTTGTTAAGATCTTAGACCATGCCACTACTACAAAATGCGCATACAACAACACCCAAGTCACCACGGTTCTTACAAACACCGTGATGACATCTTTAAACTCAGGCGCTAATATTATTTTTATTTTTTAATTAAAACTTGTTAGGATATAATTACGGTTCATGATTTCACCGTGGTGATATAATTAAGCTTTCATGATCTCAACATATTATTTGCTTTGGTTTCACATGTTTCGTTATTTCTTATTGTTGTTGACAAATATTTTTCCATATTCTCTCTTTTTCGTGTATGTTGTTGTTATGTTGATGTTATTGTTATGTATGTGGGTAAATTTTGTTGGATTACAATGCCATGCTAGTTTATGTTAACATGTGGTTTTTTTTATGGTGTTTGTAGGATTCAAATTCACATTGTATAGTTGTGGTTCACATGATGGTTTGTGGTTCACATAGTATGAGAAAATATACTAGGAGGATGAAGATATTCATCTTCCTTGTATTTTTTTCCATAGTAACACAAGTAGATTAACTTAACTTCAACTTCATTATGACACAATTATTTTTTCAATTAAAGGTATGTATCTTGTTGATAAATGTTATTTATGTTTTTGTTCATAAATGAGTTTTCATGTGCAACTAGCAAGTGGTTATGATTCTTTACTTATCGCTTAAAACTTCAAAAAATAGTTAGTTATTAAGTTCTCTCAATCTATGTTAATTAATTGATATTTTTGTTGATAAATATTGTTAGTGAATTTATTATATCATATGTGATTGCTTGTTTCACTAATCCTTTATTGAACTTGCATTCATTTAAATAGATTTTTGAAATAATAATTAAATAAATTAAATTATCATTGAAAATCAACTTAGACGATCCAATATTTTTTCGAATTACATACATCTTGTAAATCATAATTTCCTCTTTATTCTAGAGTTTAATTCAATGCGACAAACTGTTCAAAACAATATTGATAAATGAGTGTCAATCTGGATCTTTTATAAAAATCTTAATATTTGAAAAAAAACTAAAAAAAAGAAGAAGAAATCAAATTTTGTATGAAAGACTCGTACTGATATCTATTTATTAACATTACTTTGAAATTTTTTGATAAAAATGAATGAAATAAACAATAGTCATTAATTTAAATGGTGTGAATTTCATTTAAATCTGAAAAACATATGTAAATTGTAACCCAAAAAATGGTATGGTAAAAATAGTTTTTAAAAAGTATATTAATAAGTATTTAAATTTAGGGATTAATAAAAAAAGAATGGTAAAGTTGAGGAAAAAAAAAAGTAAAGTTAAGAATATAAAATGAAAAATAATTACAATTTCATGCCTTATTTTTTTAAGTCAAGTATGATTTTATTATTAAAAGTCAAACAATAACTCGTAAGCAAGGATTACAAAAATACAACGTGGTCTCTCTTCAATCCACATACTTAGATAAATAATAAGCAGTTTGCTTAACATGTAAAAAGTTTAAGCAAACATTAAATTTATGCAATCCCCAATAATAGAACCAATATAATCTATTTTAAGCATTAAGCAAACATTAAATTTAAACATTAAAGTTTAAGCAAACATTAAATTTAGCTAAACCGTTTAATAATCTAATGTAATATGATCCAGAGGAGTATAAATAAATATCTATAATATAATAATATAGTAAAAATGAAATTAAAATAAGAGAAGTTACTCTAGATGAACAACATTAATAAATGTTTACATTTTTCTACATCAAAATTGCATATCTCATACTATCATTTACCATAATATGATTGATCTCAGAAATTTGTGCAAATTCACTAGAAGTCCAAACTCCATCAGAACCATTAACTCGAGGATTAGAAACACATGATAGTATTGAAATTGGAGCTTGAAGAATAGCATAAATAACACTCCACCCATGTTGTCTTCTTCCTCTTTCACCTCCAAATATTGCTACTTCAACCCCCCTTTCTCCTCCTTCATACATGTTCTCATCTGCCACCTTAGAACTCTTCTTCATCCTATCAATATTAATAAATCTTCTCTCACTCTTGATTAATTTGAAGGATATTTAATATGATGAACTTTGAAGAAGAAATTGAGTATATTGATTGAAAGTGTCAACAACCTCTATTTATGAGACTTGATTGATAATAGTAGTATTTAAGTGGTGATGTTGCTAGTGCTTGTGTTTATCACCAAAGGTTTTTAAGGGTATCTTTTAATATAAAGAGCCAACCAACTAACACTAGCATATTATTTTTTTATTGATAATTATATGTAGGGTCTATTCATGCAAAACATGCCGACAAACCTACCCAATAGTACAAACTATATAGTATACAATATTTTTTTTTTCAAATTTTGAGTTTACAACTTTACATATTAGATTTGCTATATCCATATACTCCTTTACTATTTTACATAACAAAAAGGGTTACAAGCTTTTTGAGATATAGTTCTATTCAATTTTTTGGTGCATAGCTAAATGACAAAAATGTGAGCTATAGCTTAAGATATCATCAAAATAGTGATGATTCTAATCAATCATTTGGATGAGTAAGTTCAAGAGAGAATCATGAATTACAGTCCAATGATTTTTCTTTATATAGATATTGCATATGGTGAATGGTAACAAATAATCAATGTTAGATGCAAAGTTGTATATATTCCCCACAAATATAGTCTATGTTGGGGAATCAATGCTAATACCAAAATGTGATTGAGACTTATGTGGTGGCATAGATAAGTACCATTTTCTCCACTAAATAAGACTTTCATGGTTATCTATCTAGCTATATTCCTTTCTTGAACCGTGAAGAAACCCAAGATACGGATAGATATGCATATTATTATAATAGTTAAGTTAATGAATAATAATAATAATTAAGGTATTGGATTTTGAACTAATCAAAAAAGTTTTTGAAGTATTTCTCAACATGGTACATGAGTTTTCGTACTTTGGGGGATGGTTTTGGGACAACTTGTTGATTTTAAAGATAAACTAGTTGGCCATAGTGGTCCCTCTTTTTGAAATAAGATTTGTTTTTTGGTGGAGGGTAAGGTTCCTCCAAGAAACTAGATTAGAAAATACGTAGGAAGAAAATATGGTGAAGAAACACATGGTTGGCACATGCATATAGTTCAAATTTAGATTTTTTTTAGAATAATTAGATATTAAAAAAAAATTCGCAAATAATTATGTTTCAGAAAAAATTACATAAATAATCATGTTTCAAAAAACTACATAAGGGAGGAGCCAACCCAGTTGTCGCATGCACCTTATTTTAAAGGGGAGTCGCCATCTCACTTGGCGCCTATGTGTAAAAACCCTTGCCCTAAGCCAAATGAGATTGCGTCTTAGTGCAAAAGGCAGACAATTTTTCGCGTTTTTTATTTTAAATGCGGTACGTTACGTAAACGATATAGGATCAAGAAAATTGACTTTTTATTTACACAATATGATTAAACACATAACGATTACATAAAAAATACAGATTAATCAGTGGTCCCCCGGAACCCGGTAATGACCCCCGGTTTCGCATCTCCGTCCTCGCCTTTCCCGTGCTGACTTTCATCGTGTTTCCTATTGTGGCAGGGTCGATGGCCCAGCGAAGTCAATGCGTTCTGGATCCATGAAATCGATCAGATCTCCATATCTAGAAGATCCTCTTTGGTACAGCCGATTGCCCAAACCCTCAAAGTTTGACCGTGTTGGTGGTGGGTGGAGTTCCATGGTTAGTCTGTAGCACTGATCGTCTGAGTACGGGGGTAGAAAGGAAATGGATCCTAGGGTGTTTGGTATTGGGAATGTTGGGTGCTTTGGTGATGTGGTGGTTGATGGTAAGTTGGGTCGGTTGGTTTATAATCTTCGGACAATCCCAAATCAGGGCTAAGGTTAGATATTGAGGGGCCCATATTGGGATATGTAGAAGACTGGAATTGTGTGTGGGGTATGCGGGTGTATTGGTATTGTGATTGAAATTATGGTTGGGTGTGAGGCATATGGGGGTATTGGTACTGAGGTGGTGATTGTGGTTGGTTGTGGGGTATGTGGGTGTAATCGTATTGTGGTGGTGATTGTGGTTGAGTGTTTGTGGTTCTGTTTCGTCGGGGAGGTTGGTGGGAGGTTGATGTGAGTTGGGTTTGTTGTTGGGGAAATGAGGGTTGTGCCCATTATGTCCGTGGGTCAACCAAATACCTTGGATGAGACACATGCATTTCTGGGGTACTAACTGATCTGTACCAAGCTAAATACTGATCCGTGTGTCGCATATTACCATGGTTGAGGAAAACTGGGAATTGCAAGACATGTCGGTGACGCTTGTGCCACATCTTACACCATTCTGGAGCAAAATCTTTCCAGTTGGTAAAATCCCATTGGGCGTCGACCCTTTTGAGATGCCATGGGGACAAACAAGTTGGATCTCAAGGTATCTCTTGATGCATTCCAAACTGCATCTTGACACAGTCGATGTGGTGCATCTCCATAACATTGAACCGTATGATTGCAGTTTTTACGCTCCAAATTGCTGCATCCTTGGAGTTTGATTCATGGTCCAAATCCAAATATGGTCTCCAAACAAACTACACATAAAATTAAATCAGCTTAATGAAAATGTAATAAATAAATAATTTAAAAGTAGAAAAGTTGAAAGGTATGACGTATATCATCCGGGCTAAGGTGATCCAATAGATTGAGGTATAGAGCGACATTGAATCTTGGATTCTTGCCGTAATCCATACCTCTCACGTAGTACCTAAAGGAATTGAAAAATATTTTATTTTTATCATATATTTGGTGAAGAGATGAATAATAATAAATGATATAAGTTGATGACTTACTTTGTTCTGTATAGGAAAACGAATGTGTTGTTGTTGATGGGGTTTAGGGACTCCATTCTCCACCAACCCCAGTCTTGAAGTAAAAAAGTGCAGCCATAAAATATATATTTTTCCTTGATTGCATTTTTACACAAGGAACTGTATAGATGGGCTAAAACAGCAGAACCCCAACTATACTTTCTAGTTTTTTCGAAGTCTCTAAGTAAATTTAAATACATAAAATTTATACTATTTCCCGTACTTTCGAGAAATAAAAAGGTTCCAAATAGTATCATTATATAATTTCTAGCTTTTATTACCTTAACTAACTCGGAGGAATTTTCGTTCAATTCCAGATCCGCATAATGATTTTTTAGCTTAATAAGTAGTATACCCTGACCTCTCGCACCACCACCTTCAACCATATCCATGCCCAACAATTCTTCACACAAAGAATTAGGTTGTTGAATCGACCTGTTAACTGCCTTACCGTCGACAGGGAGACCCAATAACATGTACACATCCTCTAGTGTGACAGTACATTCACCTATTGGTAGATGAAATGTATGGGTCTCTGGTCTCCACCTTTCCAACATTTCAAGTATGAACTTTGAATCAATCGTGCAGTTGGAGATCTTTATAACGTTTCTGAAACCTGCGTATTCGAGATAGGGTACGATCAATGGGTCGGGAGCAAGGTAGTTGTGTGACCAGATTCTGAATCTTTTAGTATCCTAAGTTAAGAATGTAAAAAGTGTAAGAGTCGATAAGATGAGTAAAGCATTAATAAAAGTATGAAAAATGTATAAGTATAAAAGAAACTTACAAACGCTGCAATGTTGTCCCTTGTGCCTCTGTGAGAATCGCCCATTGTGAGAAGAGCCGTTGTTGAAATTGTCTGAGATTATGGAAGAGTTTGAAATTGTATGAGATTATGAAAGAGTTTGTAGCAGAGAGTGAGATGATTGTGGATGCAATAGAAGTATGTGAGGCTCTGTATTTATAGACAAACTTTTATCACATAGTAAGTGAGGTGGTTGGTGGGTGCATGCATGCATGATAAGTGTCACTCTTGCAGTGTAGGTGCATGTTAGGTGGCAGCCTTGGGGAAGGCATCTCTGCATGCATGTAATACGATTGGACTTGAAGGGAGGCGCCATTGGACTTGGAAAATGAGTACAAAAATGAAAGGTTTCGCCATCCCTATTGGCGAATAAGAGGTGGCATGGGTTGCAGTGTAGGTGCAGGCTAGGTGACAGCCTTGGAGAAGCCATCTCTTCATGCATGTAACACGATTAGACGTGAAGGGAGGCGCCATTGGACTTGGAAAATGAGTATAAAAATGAAAGGTTCTTCCATCCCAGTTGGCAAATAAGAGGTGACATGGGTTGCAGTGTAGGTGACAGCCTTGGAGAAGGCATCTCTGCATGCATGTAACATGATTGGACGTGAAGGGAGGCGCCATTAGACTTGGCGAATGAGTACAGAAATGAAAGTTGTCGCCATCCCTGTTGGTGAATAATAGGTGGCGTGGATTGTAGTGTAGGTGCAGGCTAGGTGACAGTCTTGGAGAAGGCACCTCTGCATGCATGTAACACGATTGGACGTGAAGGGAGGCGCCATTGGACTTGGCGAATGAGTACAAAAATGAAAAGTGTCGCCATCCCTATTGGCGAATAAGAGGTGGCATGGGTTGTAGTGTAGGTGCAGGCTAGGTGACAGCCTTGGAGAAGGCATCTATGCATGCATGTAACACGATTGGACGTGAAGGGAGGCGAATTAGAGGTTGCTTACTGTTGGTTTGTTCAAATTCAGTACAATCTATTTAATCCTACATTTATCAAAACACTCCTACACTCAATCACTCAAACACTAGACATTAAAAAATTCAAGCAATTAACTCAAATACTTCAAACCTTCAAACCTTCAAACCTTCAAACAGTCACACACAATGGCCTCTGCATCCCAATATGTGATCAGTGCATATTTCAACAGTGAGACATACATTTTTCCCACCTCTGGGTTTTTGTTTAGAGACACTGAGAACATCCGATTTTGTTTAAATAGGAAAGCCAATTTCTTGTATTTCAAATAATGATTGGAGGCCAAATTTGGACGAGGTCCCGTGACACAAATCTTTTATCAGAATCTGGTTTTTTTTTGGTAACAACCAAATAATATTTTATAAGGTTGAGG